CGTTCTTCCCAGGAAGGTTCTGTAATAAACACCATTTTGGCCTTCAGTTTGATAAGAGTAACAAATAGCACGGATGCCATAGTGGCTGATTGTGACCTTAGGTCTAGAGGCAAGCGGGATTTGCCTCCGAATTGTAAACAAGCTCTCCGCCCTCTTTTCGAGCGTGTGGGGCGATGTGGGCGTGATGTGGTCACCCCAGAGGACTGGCCAATCTTTGAAGAGGGACTCTGTGAGTGCAAAGTTCGCAGCGAAGCTAGGAAGCTTCTCCTAGTTCAGTGGTATGGGAATCTTCATCGCCTGTTGAGGAATCCACAGGACATCCCAAGTAACCCTTATACAAGTCTTCTTTTGTATCAGCTTTAATATTACTGCCAAATAGTGCTGTATTCTTGCCTCTCTCTTGAGATATCGTTGCCAATTTGTCAGTTTGAGCCTGGTTTGTTAGTCATCTCCCTCCCTGAGGAGGCAAGTGCTGGAATAAGACCGCCTCTGTTGTAACAACGTAATGCACTGCTCATAAGGTTGTTGAAAACTCTTCGACCTAATAAGTAGTGTATTACATCCATGCATGTATCGCGATATCTCAAATATCGTACCAACTGAAACAAGAGACGGCCTGCAGCGCTACATTCAGTTACTTAAATACATCATAAACGAGAGATTCAGCTGGTTCCAGGTGAGTTTCTCAAATCCAAATTGGCTTGAAAATGAGTGTATTTCGCAGACTCTGTGCGTTTCATTTATTTGGAGTTTCGTAACCTGGCCTCACACAATTCTACCTTACGTCACCGAGCATTCGCATCGAATTTGGGCGCTTAAAGTCTCTCATCAACGAATCACCGATTTTCGCTGCGGTGTGGCAAGTAACTGACGTACCTGAGCTACCGGTGTAACGGTGATACTACTGGTCGGGAGGCACGGGAGTAGTATGTGTTGTTCGTAGAATTTCATTTTGGGTCGATTAAAAAATGGAATTCTGTTGCGGAATTCGTGGGACCACTGTGGAATATTTGCTTGGATTTGATCAACGAATGGGTAGAGGCATCGAATCTCTAGAAACACTCGTTCGGGAGAAGATCTGTGTCCAGTTTTTGGAACTAAGATGCATATTAGTGTTTTGCTTCCCTGTTCAATGGTCTGTAACCGGTCAGTTGGCATTTCCGAATAAATAACTCCACAGCAAGTGCCTTCTTCCTTTCACCAGGATTTCGGTTTATTGCTGGCAGTGAAGCATCACTGTCAATACTGATGTTGCTGCCTCTGATGATTGCTGACCTCACAGTACGACGCTGCTCACACCGTGTCCTTCAGACCATTGAGTGTCACTCAGCTGATTGGACCGTTAACTGACCATATCGTTGGGTTTTTTGAGATCGACTGTGACGAAAAAGGCTGATCGGTCTTCAGCCACGTGACCTCGCTGAGATGAGGACGCATTGATCCCAGTTGAGTGGCTGAATTGCGCTGCGGCAGAATATGCTTGTCAAGTTTCATCACACAGATTCTTGGTAATCGCATGTTTCAAATCCGAGTTTCCTTCCCCAAAAATCTATACTTTAAAGGTCCTTCTCTGATGGGAACCTTACTGTTGGGTGTAGTTTCATGCCCTCTTGAGGCTGGTCTTTCGGGGAAAGGATAAAAGATAAACAAGAAAACACAGAGGTTCACCCAAAACTAAGGGACCAACATACGAACACCGATAAGTCCTGTACATGCATAACACGAGACTTCCGGTACTTTCTGATTTTCAGTACAATAACTTACTCCAAGTTGGTCCCCCGGCTCTGGTGCAATTATTCTACAGGTCTTCACATGGGTACTAACCAACCAAAGACCTTCTCCACTGAGTCGTCCTCACAGTTCAACTTACACCTTACCGGGATCTTAAAGCTTTACTTAACGGTCGTAACCTCTCAAATATCCATAAGACGTCTGTTGTGGCCATGATACTCTATCTGTTTTCAAAATAAATCAACGTGGCTTGGGTTCAACATTAGACCTTGATCGTAAAACCCCCGTGCTCACAAAAGACAATGAAGCCCTTCAGAGTTGAAACACTCATTCAACCTTCCCGTATTTGCGTTAACCAAACCAACCGCAGACCGACATTTTCTCAGTTCTGTTCCACGGACACCATTTTGACTAGACCGCGCCATATTATCGACCGCAGCCGGATCGATCACATCGATTTATGCCATATGTTCGCTTTGGTGTGCCGTCTAGCTCAGAAAACCGCCGTAGCTTCAACTTTTGTGGCTTCATTTACGGACCCTACTCTTTGAGGTGGATTTGCGCTTCTAGAGAAAAAAAGGTAGTGCTACAACGGTTTCGACTATTTTATATTAAGACGAGTTGTTACCCCCAAACGAAATTTTGAAATTTACGTAGTTGATATTTCGAAAGTTCTTTCCGAGAAGTGTCCATTCACTATCAAAGGGATTGTCGTTCCAGTTAGGCGTGGCCCAACTTTTAGGAGCACTTCTAAGGAGTGATCATTTTTGGTCGACTTTTCGAATTGATAATTCAGAGGGCGACTGCTTGTCGTTAATTTTTCTCTCCCTTATATCCCACCATCCTCTATGAATGACTGAGTCGCGTGGCGAATCCCCGACCTGTTCTGTTTTCCTGCTCTACTTCTGACTTTGATGTAACTGTGATGAACTCCGAACGTGACTGGACTGTACAATTGCCAATGCATTAACCGTTTTCGTTGAGAGAGCTTTGATTGGTTGTTATTCGATCGTCCTTGGCGACCTGGCTTTCTGGCAGCCCGTTTCCGACTGCACGTGACACACCCGTACGCGTCAGTGTTCGATAGATCGATCTGCTGATTCGCACGTTCATCGGCTTTCTGGTTTGGCGAAGTGGCTATTTATACTTGGGTTCAAGGTGTTAAGAAAACACTAAGGAAACTGTGGTCCATAACAGAACCAGTGGCGGAACTCAGTTTTCAGGATCTCACGTTTTCGACTTGGATCCAGTTCACACCTCAACGACCAGAAACGGGTGTTTATATTTGTTATCCCCGGAGCAAAATCCTTGCAGCGCCTTTTTGGCTCATGGCTGCCATGCCACCCGATGGACTGAGGTAACGCTAGGTTACTGTTGCGACAGTCGAGTAGTTCCAGGACGGTATTGGAAAGGAGACAGAATAGGAAGACTTATTGTACGCTTTAATCGTCTAATAACTGTTGTACATGAGGTATGGGTTATATAGTCATGACTTCTCCTCGCCTTGAAATAGGTGTGTACTTTGCGGAGAAAGAATGTAAAAAAATAAAAGGCTTTAATAATTACATGGAGTCGTTTACGCCTCTCTGTTGCGTAGATTGTATGGATGAGTGCGTTGTTGTTGGATAAGAATGTCCAAGTGATTTCCTAGATCTGAACTAGAATGGGATGGCGAGGCACCTTTAATAGGCAAGTGTTCAGTTTCCAAGCAACCACGGTGTTGTGTGAGGGTCCCCTTGTTCGGCGATGTGTATTGGTTCCTGTTCTCTGTCGGATGTCATGTCGTTGCCTTTGGGAGCCAAGCGGCGCAAGGATACGGTTTCGTGTTTGCCATCTGGACGAACTATGTGGACGTACTGTGGATTACGAGAGACGAGTCTCACTTCCTTTACCAGGGGGTCACATTTAGAGACTCGATCATTGCGTTTTAGAAGGATTGGCTCAGGGACAGTAAGCCAGGTAGGTAGGGAGGCACCGTTGGCTGATCGTCGTGTGAACGGCATGAAACGTTCGTGTGGGGTACAGCTGATACTAGTGGAGAGCATCAAGGAGGACAACCTCCCAATGTGTGACAGGCAAGCCGCGCGATTTTAGAGCCAGACAGATGGTCTTCCAAAGGGTACCATTAAGTCGTTCAACCTGACCATTACATTGTGGATTATATGCAACGGTGTGGCAACGCCTATATCGAACAAAAATTGTTTGAGTTCAGTTGACATGAATGCAGAACCGCGATCTGAGTGATTATAGGCAGGCGTACCAGACAGTGAAAACAGTTGATTCAAACAACGTATTACAGTGGAAAAGGACGTATCGGTGCAGGGATAAGCAAAAGGGAATCGAGAATACTCGTCAATGATTGTCAAGAGGTACTTATTACGAGTGTTTGAGGGAAGTGGGCCTTTAAATTCGATACTAAGGCGTTCGAACGGTTGTGTGGCATTAATAAGCTGGCCACGAAAGGTGTCACAAAATTTTAATTTTAGCTCGGAGCATGTGGAACAGTCGGACAGCACACGTCGGATAAAGGAACGTTCTCAGAACGAACAAAATGTGCAAATCTCGTGACCCCGGGATAGTATAATATGTTGTGAAGCTCTTCAATTTTTTCCGTCCCAGCAATGTTGGCACAAAGATTACGGGATAGGGTATCAGCAACGCGGTTATCACTTCCAGGTCTATAGACGACGTCGTATTTGTACCCTACCAACTCGATTTTCCACCCTTCAATCTTGTCGTTCTTTATTTTTCTTTTCTGTTGGTTCCCGAAAGTTGATCCGTAATCAATTTAAAATATCTCCCGAGGAGATAGTGGCACCACTTGTGGATCGCTTCAACTATAGCATATGCTTGTTTTTCAACAGCAGAATAATTTTTTCTCGCTTGCAGTCAAGGTTATGGAGAAAAACGCAACCGGCCGGCTACCCTGGCTCAGGGGTGCACCAATAGCAATGTCGGACGCATCAGGTTCAACAACGGGATGAATATTGTAGTCGACAGTAACCACCATCGCATTTTCTAGTTCGTGTTTAAGGTTGTCAAATGCCGTTCGGGCATTTTCCGGAAGCGGAAATATTATGTTTTTAACCAATGGATGAATTTTGTCAGAAAACGCCGGTATTCACTGTGAATAGTAGGCAAACAAACCAGCGGCTCTCTGCTGCGATTTCCCTTACTCTGGAAGTGAGAGTTCTCTTATGGGGCGCATGCGTTCTGGGTCAGGTCTTATAATACCTTTGGAGACCTTGTAACCTGAGAGAGTAATCTTTTCAGTTGCGAAGCTGCTTTTTGTATCGTTTGAAGTAATATTTTAGGTTTTTGGTTTCATCTCTCGTTTTGCCGCATACAGTGACGTTATCGGTATAAGCGAATGTGTATTTTATCCTTTCGGCTTTGATTATATTGTTCAGCGTTCGCTCAAAACACGCAACCCCGTTTGTGACTCCAAAAGGAATGCGCCGAAACTGGTATAGGTTCCCCCCAGCTTCGAACGCTGTGAATGGCTTGTCTGACTCGATTATTGGAACCTTTCACAAATTTTGAGCGAATGACAGTGAATATTTTAGCGGTTGACCAAACATAGTATATCTGGTTTCGGGTACCAGAAATTAGGTTTAAAACAACAGCCCATCGGCACGATAGTGCTAAACACCTGAACTATTCAGATCTGGAAATTTCGGACGCTAACTTTCAAAACTGTAATAAATTGCACACGGGTCTCTCTGGTCTATCCAAGAATCCAGCTCCTGTTAACTGGGAAAATTTGGGAAAACAAGCAGTGTTTTAAGGTTCCCAACGAATTCTTCCACGACATGACGCACGAATGAAAATTAGAATACGTTCAGTAATCGGAAGCACAATTGCCTCCCGCCAGCTTCCGTTGGGTAGGTCACTGCTGACCGCTGTTCACAAGTAAGCAGATCTCCCAGTGCCAGACAGAGCGATAAGTCCGCGAGAATTGCTATCTTCTTGGAGACCCTCCAATATTTGACAGATGTTCTGAATATTACACTCATAGCTTACAGCGTACTCTCAATCCGGTAGACAAGAAAGTTTACGGGATTATAAATATCTGGGCGGTATATCAATTCGCAAAAGGAGTAGAATAATTTTGACAAACCGAAATGCATCCCCTAAACTCATTATGAAGACACACTGAGTTGAGTAGGCAAGATCAACGCAAACACAAATTGGAAATGTCCGGAAAGCACTTCTTCAGTGTAAAGCCTGAGTAGAAATGAACACATGCTATAATTGCCACGCTTTGCATGACAAGACACGAGAGCATGCGTCATGATCCATGGTGCCTAAAAACCTGGCTCAATGACGGGTTGCAAATGTACACAATTCCGAGCGCATTCTCCATAACACGGGAATAGAGGAATTGTGGCACCACAAGGTATTCAAACGTGAGGCATCTTGGAAGCGATGTGAAATTCCATTAACACACCAACGCAAACAACAAAGCTGCTAGAACTCTACTTCAGCGACTGCGGTGAAACGTGGCTGTGAATCATTCTAATCGGAGAGTTTTGCATATGGTATTATACTCCGCGATAAAACCTGCGGATTTCACTTGATGATCTTGCTACATATATTGATGCCACAATAAATCACTCTGAATGCAAACCGCCGCGTCCCGGTAATGCAAATTTAGTACATGCTTTTGGTAAACTACATGCTTTTGTAACATGCGTGACATTGTGAATTTTCTACGTCCGCACATTTAATACTGCTTTAATATCTACCGGGTTCCGTTCGACCACGTTTGTCAAATCTACCTGCACTCATGTCACCGTCTGCCAGGCTGGCAGTAAGGTCAGTGTCAACGCCTCAGTCGTTCAAAATGCTGAAACTGACCTTGGAGATTTCGTTGGGGCTATTCAACACTTACATAAAAAAAATCGGAAACATTTTCCTGTAAATGGTTGGTTGGACTGCTTGTACCGTTGCACGGATAGCTCAAGAATCACTTAATGTTTCCTCCAATTAGGTGCACAGGCACATGCTCAATTTATGAGCGCAGCATCTGCTCTACAGGAACATTGATCCTAATTGTGTTCTGAGAGCGGACGAAACCAAGGCACACTAACTATATGACTTACGATTAGTAAACATTTATCCGTAACAAACTGTGAGTTCACGGGCAGATATCCTAACGCAGAATATAACCATTCACCAATTATGTCAACTCACGTCAGCAAAAGAGCTATTGCCCTGATTTCTGTTGGTGATTTTTGCCTGATAACTTTGAATATTTCTTAAATCTATACTTATTAACGCTCGTATCGCTGATCCATTCACACAAATATTTAGCCCTGAAATATTGCTGGATTACGCACTTATTCAGTGAGAGGCGTTTTATTAACCAACGGTGATGCGGCCATTCATGAGAGGCGTTTTATTAACCAACGGTGATGTGGCCATTCGCGTTGCTTTTCAAAGTGTGTGATGCGGGAATGAAGTAAATTTCATCAATATATGTTTGCCATTTTCTTAGTCAGAATGACAACAAATCACATCAACATTTGGAACATTTGTTTAGCTGGACAAAACAAAATTTTCCGCCAGCAATAAGAGGAGGCTATCGCGAGGCAGAGATGCAGTCGAACAAAAACCCTCTTCGTGGAAAATTAGCAAAAAAAAGTCATTGAGGCCAGTTCGAATTAGAAATTCTATTAAAGAAAGTATGACCAAATGAACACTCAGATGAAATATTTGGGTCAACGACCATCAGAGCAGAATTTTTCTCTCGTTTTGATCGGGTGGCGTTTGGGATAATTTGAGCACTTAACACAGCGTTTCAAACTAAGATTGAGAATGACAATGAAGCATGAATGACTTACATGCTTCTGATCTCTCCGATAACAGTAATTTCCCTGCAAACATGTCAACATCACCCCTCGATACCCTTTGGTTTGTGTAATTTAGAAATACATTTGTGACAAACTACTAGTTGTTCGTTAGAATATGAAAACTTAGGTTTGTAAGTAGTATAGAGTACGCGTATCTAATACATTCGTGAAATTTTCTTGGCTGCAAGGTTCTGCATTTTGTTGATGTTGTCATCCCAGGTTCTTCGGTATTTTGGTTAACACATATATCAAGGAAGTCAAAATGTCACAATAAACTGGATTACATTTCGATCGGACTATGAGTACAAATTTAGGTTATCAACTAGCCTAATGTTGCTGAATATTCTCGCAGTTTGATACTTCCTTTTCCTTCGGACATGCGGTAATATTGAGTTCCTTCCAAATGGCAAACTGTCAATTAATACTAGCTTCTTCTGAGTGCACACACTTGTTGTTACGTGAGGATACAAACCTTCAAAATTACAGCAAGTCCTTCCCTGAGTGGTTAATGTGGCGAAATTGTCAACCTTCTAGTTGAGAAGACGTGCTTCCCTCACAGGTGTGTAACGGAAAGGGGTCCGGTCTGTAAAATAAGATTCAGTTTATTGAAAGAATGTAAATATTACCACCTGCATACCCGTCACTTTGCGCATTCTGAATACAAACATGTGGCACACTACTTTCCTGTCATTAGTAAAACAAACTAAAAGTATACTTACTTCTTACAGCCTCGCAGACGTATTCTGATTATAGCAGTCATATTACATTGCATAAACCATACACGAATTGCATTACACATTTGTGAAGGTGACCTTCAACCCACCGACTGCAACGAAGCTCTCGAGAGGCGCATTCATCTTGTCCACTGGTACTGAAAATATTTAGCAGAACTGTATGCGTTCATAGAAATCCACTTATTACACACAACGTGGCGAATCACGAAAAACAAAACAAAACACTTATTACATGCTTAAGTATCAAAACATACTCCGGCCTTAGGTTTCATTCTTTTCAAAATCAAACCGTTGAATGGAAGCTCAAATCCTGTACAGTAAAATGTATCACTTGACTGACTGACGATTTGAGAGCTCCCAGAAACTTCGGGAGTGGCGAAATTCAGCGGTACCAGGGAGCGTAGCGAATAGTTTAGTACTCTGTTTTCACTGCCCAAATCATCTCAGTAGTATCAACTGACTGACTGAGAACATCTATTAGTATTCGAAGAGAGAACGGGCGCACCCGTGTGCAACGATATTCAATTCATCGTCTCCCATATCAGTGCCCGAGCGGATGCGCATCTGATTATGATTGCAGTGGACGGGCAGCAGAGTTCGCTCCAGTAATGCTTCGTTTTCGATCACAGTAAATCCTCTCAACAAAATGAGGTATTATGTCATCGAGACATGAGTTTTGTCCATAATCTTCCGTTGGATTCTATTTACATAACGTCGGGGATTACTGAGTACAAGAACACCACTACATTTTGTCAAAAACATTGATTTTGTGGAATTCCGCTCGAAACTTCTATCCGTCACCGTATAGAGAGTCTTGGAACTGCTCAACGGAAGTACCGTGTTTTGCGAGAAAAGTAATTTCCCGCACGAAAACCTCAATGACGGGGGAAGGTAGAAGCATACCTGCGATGCTGATTTGAAAATGATTGCCGCATTTCGAAGCTTTGTTTCAAAAACGACTTTAACCGGAAACTTTATTAACGTACGTTGTACTCATATGTTTTTCAATCATGTCTAGGAATTAAAAGAGGCGCCTAAACAGATCACCAGGCAACACAACCGTAAAAGATTATGTACACTCAAATACCAGGATTTGGTTATTTTAGTTCTGATCACTCAAACCTTTTGCCTGAAAATCTCTGAGAGCTTCATTTGTCAGCACCCTGCCTGATGTGCAGTTGCCCGGTCAGCTTGTTTATTTCTTGCCGATCTTTCACGAAAAACGTTTTATGCCACAACCTTCTGTGCAACGATATCCTTAGGATTTCTGGGCTCGACGATTACGTTCTGTTTGATGTAGTACGGCCGCCCGAAATTGCGATGATTTTTTTGACATGAACAATTTTTTGCCAAATAGAAATTTCGCACTTTTCTTTGAGGGACACACAAACGCGAGCACCGCGTCACACGAGATGAAATCGAAAGTAACTATTTTAATAACGTTTACGAAAGGCACTTTTTGACCGGCACATGCCGAAAGTCGTTCTCCTTAAAGATTGTACCGCAAACGACTTCCGTTTGGCAGCGTGGGAACAAATGCTTCCAGCTTTTATGCGAATTCCATACGCAGCTGGATACTACATGATCTTCTCAGTTGTTGCGCGGAGCATCGTGGATCTAGTTGCCATAAACCAAGTTCAGATGGTCATGGGTGTGGCGGCCTTGTTTTTTTAAGAACAAAGTAAATACGCTGTATAAAAGGCGATTTTTCATCCGGTATGATGGAGCATCATGACTCTCAAGATACGTATTTATTATTTTGCAATGTGCGTGCAGGAGGAGTACTCATTCTTATAAACCATTTTTATAGAATGCGACACGCGTGTTACATCCCTACTGGATGTAAAAACTTGGATATTATGCCAAGATGAGGCATTTGAAAACAGAAGCCAATAATGAGATACTATCTCTCGGATAACATATTTCAGTGCCTCTCTAAAACTAACCCATTCTCGTGGACCAAAGCAAAAAAATTAATCATCTCAGCAATAGGGAATATTATCGGCAATTCCCGCCGTGCTGAAAGCATTCAGTGCTTATGGCACAACTTTGCGTGCATCAGAGAGGGAACAAGGCGTCAAACGGACTAATCCAAAGGCTTCTGTTTGTCAAGCCTGTGACATAACTTCGGCTATTACTTGAAAATTAAACGCGCAACCTCACGTCTAGTAAGAGGCGAGATAACCATCTGCGATCATTGTTCGAAGACCTCTGAACATTCATCTAGACCAGGTGTCATGTAGAGAGGACGTTTCTTCACAAGGTCCCATGAAACCACAATTACCCACTCACTATTTAAAATTCAACAACTAGCCAATCGCTACATGCTTTTTCACAGGACATGCAAGTACAACCATTCTAACAGTGAAGGCGCAACGGTTAAAAATATGGCAGCAGCAATGTGACGCGGAGAATGCCACCTCGTGTCTGCATCCAGCGAAATTCTTAACCACAAGTTGAATGTTTGCGCGCATAATTTGTGCGACGAATTCACCCTGCTAAACAATAATTTGCATATTCCCATACAAAAGCTTCCTTGCAAGGCTTGAATATATTCGGGTCCAGACATCACCCCGGATTCATGGATTCACGGATTGATACACAGGATCGAGGCCTTTGCTTAAGTTTCCCGGGTCGGTTTTGCTCTTGTCGGTCAGGGGCTGTCGTTCATCTGAAAGGCATAAGTGAAAAAAGGGTGTAGCACTGCTCTTCATGTTCTCAGCGCGGGGCAGTATGCTTGCAAGTGCGAGTATTCGCATAAATAAATGTCTGATATTGCTATGAAATGGATTCTAGAATGAGCGTGGACAACCGGAGGAGGAAGGTCATTCCACGCATCTACTACCCGAAATGAGAAAACGTTTTTCCAATGAATGTGTGCTCTCAGCTTGAAAATTTTCTTACTATGTCCCAGCCGTGTGTTTATTGGGTCTACGGTAAAAAACCTGTTTGCCAAGTTTTGTTCAAACAGGGCATATACAAGAATTAGGTCGCCTCGGAGACGACGGTACTCCAGGGGAAAGAGATCAAGCATCGCGAGACGCGTTTCGTAGTCCACGGATTTCAGGCCAGCAACCATTCTTGTAGCGGCCCTCTGGACACGCTCAATGAGGGTGAGGTCTTTCGTGCGTCCTGAGTAGACAACTTGGTTGGCGCATACCAGAAGCTGTCTGACATAGCCGTATAGAGTATGTCGAAGTCCATGCGAGTAATAAGGTAAAAGGTGCGTCGGATCATCCGTAAAATGGCAAATGCCTTCCGGGCCGACTTCTCATCGTGCAACGAGAAGAGGTTTGAGGAGACCCAGAAATTCAAATCCTTTTTGGCATCTATCCTCATGATGTTTTCTGGTCCTTTCTCACTATGGATAACAAAGGCATTCGCTGAGTCTCCTCCAAACGACATATGGACGCACTTTTCGTCGTTCAGAGGAAGTTAATAGTCCAACGACCACTGCTTGGTAGCGTCTACATCCATTTGGAGGGCACCGACATTGGAACTCCAGGATTTCAAGTCGTCTGCAAAAAGTAGACATGGACTTGCAAGAACACCTGGAAGGTCGTTGACGTAGATCAGAAACAGCACTGGTCTCAGGACGGAGCCTTGAGGAACTCCAGTGGTGACCAGCGCTGGAGAAGATTAGGTCGGGCCTATTCACACTAGGAATGGTCTGTCTGATTGAAACATCTTGATCAAGTGAACGATGTTACCTTGAATCCCGTAAGACTCGGGTTTATGGAGCAGCGGAACGTTAGAGACCCTGTCGAATGCTTTTGAGAAGGCGAAACATATGGCATCCAATATGAGTCCTTCGTCCTTGGCTTGGGTTAAGTCGTTCATAAACACAGGCATGATTGTCACGCAAGAACTGTTCGGGAGATATCCTGGTTTAACTGTAGGTATCCGTTTTCTGGATGTAGGGTAATCCAGGATAGTTCGATTCAGAATGCGTTCCGTCATCTTGCTCAGCACGCTAGTGAGTCTTATAGAGCTCCGGCTGCCAGGCGATAGTCAGTCACCAGTTTCATAGCTTGACGTGACAATTGCTTCCTTCCAAGCAGAGCGGGGCGGTGTTCGTCAAGCAACTGACGAAACATTAGGTATAATTGAGTTGCCGATGTAGACGACGTTTCCTTCAGGATCTTCGGGTGGACCTTGTCAGGCCACAACGCGGAGAGTGGTTGAACCTGTGCAAGAGTTGACGAATGTCCTCCACCGTGAAAACCAAGTCGATTAGAGACTGGGCGTAGTTACGCCTTGACAGGAGTGGATGTAGCAAGGACACTGATGTTGAATATAAACCTGCATAGTGTTCCCTTTAAACATCAGATACGACTGTTGTGTATCTTGTGGATCAACCGGTCCTGTCCATCAAGGAGAACGCAGATGGCTTGTTTCTGCGTCGAAGTCTCTTCTATTTGAACAAGACGCCTTGTTTTTCCGAGCGAGGTCCAGAATGGTGGCTTGTTTTCGTATGTTCCATTGGCGGATTTCTGATTTATAGCGGTTTCGCATTTTACGAAATGCCAGCTCATTTTCTGTATTCCCCGTAGCCAACGACATGTTTTGGTCCAAGCGCTCCGTGGAACGACTTTAATCAGCGCCGCTGCAAAAGATCCGCTTGATTCGACGCGCTGGAGGCTTTTGGTGTGTTGAAGTCACCTACCAACAGGAGATGAGTGAAGTGGTAGCTGGAGGAGAGTTGCTCAAGTGTTCGTATGAGGAATTGGTTATCTTCATTAGGACTCCAGTGGCGCAGCAGGATTTGGACCCACAGCACGTCGCAAAAGGATGCAGAGGAGGAATCAGAGAGGACAATCGGGATTGGTAGGGCCGCATGCAAATACAGAGCAACCTCGTCAGCCTTCCAAGATTAAAAGTGAAACATTGAAATTGGGGATTTTCCTGACCTTTACTTGTTAATGAATTCCTTCTGTAAATTCCTATAAATTCGGAGATAAGTTATTCAGTGTTATTTTATCTATTATACAAATAATCAAAATAATACTGTATTCGTTTTTAATTCCACTTCACACAGATGTCGCGTAACCACTCAAATCGCGAAATCCCCATTGTATAACAAATCACCTTCCGCTGAATTATTGGTTCACAGAAGTAGAAGTGCATCATACAATGCCTTTGTTTGCATCGTTTTCCGGGGTGTATATTTCTGTGAACGGAATAAACGACGGTACTTGTTTTTGTTACGATGGAGACAACATAACCTCTTCAATGTTGTCAGGCTGCGATAATTTTACTCGGAAAACTGCTCGTCGGGCTCACATAGGTTGCCAAGCTCGCCGTAGCTACAGCACCAAGAATCCGAATTTGGAGGACAGATTATTGCTTTGGAAACTGTTCTTCATTCGGTTCAAATGCCAAAATCCTCGACAGACTTAGGTACAACAATTCATCTACCCGACCTGATGTTACATCACTCGTGGTTGGTAAATATCGCACTCCAACCTGCAACTCCAACCTCCAACACCTGTCCAACAACACAAAGTATGTTCCTGATGAGTTTCCTCTTATTTTAGGTCATTAAACGGTAAACGTTTATTTCGGCCTTTCGCAGAGCAGTCGTTCAACTTTTCGCCAGAAGAGCAGAGATTAGGCTTATAAATTTCGAATATGGCTGGGCATGTGCCTTACACCGCAGGGACCCATGAGCTATCTTTGCGACAAAACAAGCGAACAAACCCGTTAGTGTTTGGTTTTTTTTTTTTTTGGTGTAGAAATAGCCTCANTCAACGAAGTCCTCAAGGTACGGTTCAGCACTTTGAACGTCTATGACGCTTACCCTGACCTTGGCGCCAGCCTAACAGACCGTGAGATGGGTGCGGGCAGATTGGACACACGTTGCTGAATGGAATCCATTTTATATTAAGACAGTCTTGGAATGTGAAGACGTAGAACATTTACAGTAGTGCACATGTTTTCAAAGTGGAAAATTTACTGAAAACATATACCATGATTGCATTACAGCGTCGTGGTTGGCATTCACAGCGATTTATTTTGATATCAAGACATTGAACTCCCAATTTTCGATTGCGGAACATAATGTTAGATGTTAATATTTTCCACAATTACGTTTCGTGATTCGGTAAAGTTTATTTCCAGCAGCTTTATAGCTTCTGCTGGTGAACTTAAGAAATTTCGTCAAGATGCCACAAGTTTGAAAATGTTCCGGTGCCACAATTCGTTTATTTCCGTACTACGGAGGATGCTTCCGAAAGTTTGGAAGTTGGTAATCGGTCCTTGGGTGGACGTATTAGGACATGAAGAGTCAAGACGCAAACTCTTCTGTCCGAGCTTTCAAGTGACAAGTTTTATTATCATACAGAGCATGGAAACACTTTGCCCATGTTCATCATCGCTCCATGTTTTCGCTCAGGAAGTGTTTTCACGACATTGCAGGTCAAAATTTCTGTGATCGTGTTAGTTCGACTCAGAAGGCTCTCACTGGTAGTTTGTGTGGCCATTTTGGCTTGCGGAAATAGTACTGCTACAGCTCATTGAGATACCAGCGTGGTTGTTAAAATTCGTGTAATCTCTGAGAGTACGTTTTGTCTGCCATAAAACATCCAAGTTGTGTCGCAAATTGAAGGTTTTTCAGAAACCAAGCATTTTACGCGAGCATGTTGCTGCTCTAGGAGCCGTGTGCTTTTGTAGGTGGCAGTAAACAATGACCCACCCAGTGGAACCATGAGAAAGACGATGGTAGTGCTGATTAATGAACGTAATACGAGGTATTCCATGTTAATCCGTGCGTTATTGTTGCAGAATCGGTCCGGGTTCCTCTATAAATTCCTGCCCGCGGCCAAATTTTCCCAGTTCATCTGTGACGTACCAAAGCAAGAATTGATTCGCTGGACGCATCAAAGAGTCCGTCGATCAAATCACCGTACAGTTGAGACTTGGCACACAAAAATTCACGTCTGGTTAGCCAGGTTGTCGGAGTTTGGGGGCCATAGAGGCTGCTATTCTCGTGAAGATTATTGCTACCTGAAACTGGATCCTCTAAATGTCACTAGCCGTGAAAGCTTCACTCACTAAGAAAGACTTCGCAAAACAATGCACGAGTATTATTAAAAGAGCGAAGTTGGCTCGCAACCTATGAATAAGAAACCTGCAAATACCACTGAAAAACTTTGCACAAGGCTCATTAGAACGATTTGCTTGCACGTTCTATATTTTGCTAATCATATTTAGGACAGCGAATCGCACGCGCCCAATGGAAGCGCTATGCATTATGTGTTGCATTACACACAAACGCTGACTTCATTTAGTCCCTCCATCTCGTTCGAATTCGTACGCCAGACGCGAAACCTGATTCACACAGTTTCTACGGATACCCGTCATTACATAGTGTATACTGTTATGGACAACCACTTGGACTTTCGTGCACCCAGTTAAGTGCAACATCAAAGCACTTTAAAACATTTTTCACTTCCTGCGTACTGAAATTCTGGTCCTCTTTCGCCATAAGATCGGTTGAAAATCCAGAACTATTGCGGTGAGATAGGCACCGTACAAATTATAAATTAGATGTGCCCATATGTCAGTTAT